CCTCCGTGTGACCAAACCCTCAATTTTCTCGTGACCCGAAAGTTTCCTATCTAAAACCGACAAACCCTTATCCTAGTTTTTTATGCTCTATCGAATGAACATAGTCCCGATCGAAAATTATTGAGACACCGGAGGTACTTCCCTTGTAAGTTGTATCCAACGAAGCTGCTAACCAAAGAAATTACGTTGCTTTATTCATCATTTATCTTTGAGTTTCCATTCTCTTGATGGACATGCAATGCTGATTTTGTCTAGAGAAACTCAAAGGGTAACACACAGAAAATTATGACTGATCATTGATCACCCAGCTGATCAATGGAAAGTAACAACTAAATAGATTAATTGCAATCGAATGATCAACATTTTCTTTAGTCTCAACTGCCTTCTCTCTTCATTAGCATTATCTTGATTCATCTTTTTCATTTTACTCTTTGCTCTTTTCAATCGGCACACCAAACCAGTCAAACATAATTCCATGTCAATCTATTCAAAAAGTATCTTTGCAATTATTGAAACATTATTCATCAAGGTGTCACCACTAATGGAAGTAAATAATTGACCGACTTTTCTCTCTTTTCGTTTCCCTCAACATTTCCATCATCTTGTTGTTGTTCAACTAACCGCTTTACCTTTAATTGAAAACTCTTCTCAATCATCATGTCATCATCAACAGCATGTAATATTTCATCGACTATTTTCTCCGTCAACCTGAACATGATAAAAAATCATTTACTGCCGAGCAAATTTTCAGTCAATCAATCTTAGAAATTTGTTATCTGAGCAAACAAAAGAAAGTAAAAAACTGAGAGAAAAGTTCAATAAATCAAATTCCATGGAACACAATCAAATTGAATAAAAAAGTCATTAATGTTCCAACTTTCGATGTTCAAAAAAGGTCAATCGAAGAAATAAAATTTTCCTCATCCTTTTACTTCTCAACAAAGGTCAAGAGTTTGCATGTTCGCATAAATGTAAAGATCAGTTGACTAGAAATGATGAAACATTGACCAAGACTTTACTAATAACAAGGTAAAAAAGTGTTTAATTAGAACGAAAAAACTGTGCAAAAGGAAAATTTTTTTTTCTTTTTCTCATAATTCCAACAGAAAAGGTGAAACGACGAATGAAAAGCAAACAATACTGAATGTTGTTCAATTAGAAAGTAAAGTCTGGATAATTGGATTGAAGATAATTGAAACAAAATTGACCCGATAATCTGGACAAGTTAGCAAATAAATTGTTGCATTACATGATAAGTGTTAAGAGAAAAGAGAAAAAATTGTAGAAACGATCATGAGACGATAATAATTCATGGCTATATCAGTTCATTGACAGTTATCATTGAATTCATATTGAATTGTTAAAGATTTCATTTTCCACTTTTCACCCATAAAACTGTTATCCATTGTTTATCATTGAAATGGATGAAGGAAAAAATAGTTGAAATTGACTATTATTCATCGATCTTTTTTCTCGACTCTTTTTTTGCTCTTTCAATAAAACTGAGAATTTCATGGTTCCAAGGAAAAGATGATTTAAATGATGAGAAATGAATAACGAAACTTGACCATCATCAGTGACAATTGATTTGATGAATAATTTGACTCAAAGTTAATTCAATTTACGACTATTTTTCATTTCTAAATTTCAACCTTCAATCCAAACTGTCAGTCAAAAGTTCTTGAAGAAAAATGATGAAAAAGAACACTTTTTGTCTCTCTTTTAGAAGAAATTTCAAGCTCACCTGTGGGAATAATGTTGAATATGCAGGGGTCTCGTTGAACTCCAATATCGTTGACTGCCCAACAAGCCAAGGCACCATAAGCAAAACGATTTCTCGGACGGTAAGTGGCAATGCTTATCGATCCATTGGTTATGAATGAGCGAATCTCGGCATTTTCATTGGAAGAGTTTAAAGACCATTTAAAATTTACATTGCTTGGTTCAGCTTCAACTTCACAAGTAATCTGAACAATCTCGTTATGAGCCACTCCATAAATAATCTTTTGTCCAGGTTTGCAGATCGGCGCAACTTTAGGAGGAAAACCAAAAAAAAACCAAGAAATCAATTAAAAAATTAGCATTCTTTTCTTGAGTCAACTTCAATTGCTCAACTTTTCTCATGACGTTTCAATTTTTGATGACAAATTAATGATTCGATTGAAGAGTAATTTACTCATCATTACCTTGTAAACATGTAACTTTATTGAATTGAGCGTTTCATGACAATTATAAGTCAATTACTCAGCTTGATTCATCATGAAATCAATTAACTCAATGAGCAACCTCAATGATCTGAAAATGGTTTCTTTCAATGCACTTTTGCAATGTCAAGTTATGACTTCAAAGACTTAAAACAATTGAACATTACAAGTTCAATAATGATCGAAAAATTAAAATCCAAGTTTCTTTTTTTGAAATCTGTCATTTCCATAATAAAACAATTTAATAAAACCAACTCTAAGAATTTGATCTCGCTAAACAGAACTAAAAAACGCTCATTTGAAGGCTCAATAGCACAGCATTGTATGTAATATCTCGACTCTTGTCAAGTGGCTCCTAAGCATAGAGCAAGAAAAGTCTGAGAAGCATTTTGTTGTTTCATTTATCTTCATTAAACCATTTATCCTTAGCTTTTTCATTACTCATTGTCAAAACAGTTTCCTAGTCAATCTTTGAATCCATTGTGATAATAATGATATAAACAATCAGAATAATTTTATAATTAGATTACATAAACTCTTCTGAAACTCATGCAACATTATCGTAGATACGGCAGAGAGAAGGAAAAAAAGTGAGAACCAAGAAAAAGAAGAAGCAACGAAAATCTAAAGTAAACTTGCATCTGTAAATCTCATTTGTTGAGGAAGAATGAAAACGAAGGCGAAAAAAAAATGATTGTAATAATGCATGAAACTTATTGTTAACATTATGACTTTTGTCTTTGCACATAAAAGAAATGGAAAAAGACAGAAGAATAGAGTTTTTCACTCTCTAACTGAATACCTGATTGTTTCTTGCGACCTCCAGTCTGTTCAACTTTTCATGCATTATTTGAAGCATTGAGCAAATTCAATTTGTCAAATTGGTAACAATGAAATATGTATAGATATGTGTGCAAAAATGTTTTGAATAATAAAGCAAATTCAAGTTTTCAAATTTCGTCTTCATTTAAGGAGAAGAGGGAAACATTCAGATAATCTGTTCACAAAAAGAAACATTTCCTGAGGAGAATTGTTTCTCTTTCGTTCCTCACTAAAGACAATAATGTAAGGTTAAATGATTTGAATGAAACACAGAAACAAGAGAGAAAAAACAAAATGAAATTCTCAAGGAGAGAAACTTGGAAAATAGAATAAATTTTAAGCTTCGAAATTGCAAATGTACATATTTTTCCTCTTTTTTTCCTCATTCTACTTGAAACTATTGATTTGTGATGCGAAAAGTAAAACAAATAAACATCAATAAACACAATTGACCATGAGATTGATAGAGAATGAAATTCGGCGAAAAGAAGCTGTTCAACAATGAAAAGTTGCTCATGTTTTTGGCACATTATTTTTCATTTTCAAACCCAATGGTATTTGCTTTTACATTTTATCATGCAAATGATTTAATGTTGCAAGAAACAGAAAAGGTAAAAGTGCAAATGTTTTTACCGCAATCGAGTCCAATGAGACTTTCAAATGTATTTATTCATCATTCAGATTCATCTTTTGTTGCTTACTTCGATTTGTCTTATTCTTCTTTTTTCATCTCGAATCCAAAGTTCATTATTCATTTTTTATTCTCATTCTATTGGTTCTTATTGTTTTTCCCCTTTCATGGTAAACATTAGTAGACTAAAGTTTTGACTCGACATATCGAAGGTGAGAAAGATTCAGAAAAGATGAAAATTGAAATTTTATATTGGTTTGTTTACTTTTCGCTACTTCAATGATTCAGTATTTGATTGGACTGCAGTTTGCTATTGAGTTATGAGTTTACTCTTCACACTCTATGGCAATGTCAACAAGATGGGATCAATTTTGGTATTCATCTTGGATCATCAAAGTCATTCAAAGATGCATTAATATTTAATCTTGCAATTTTGATCTGACATTAGACGAAATTGATTAATAAGAAAACTGAGAAAGTGTTCGTAAGTGGATCAAGTAAAGAAACCTCCAAGAGGAAAACTTAAAACAGAGACAGAAGTAGCGAGAGGAAATTTCGAGTAATCAAGTTTTACCTAGAAAGAAAAAGTTCTAATAGATATTTTAAAACTTTAGCATCGAATGCGAACAGAACATTTGTTTTGCATGTCGCAACAATGATGGAATAGAGTTTCGAATAGTTTAATCCATGAAAATTTGAATTCAAAACTTTTTGTTCTTTAATTGATATAATATTTATTATACATTATCGAGCAAAGGGAAAGCTGAATATTGTACATTTGAATCCTTTTTGTTTCATCGAATGTAAGAGAAACTCGATTTTCACTGATATGCACATTCAGAATACTTAGCAGCCTTAGCAAATGAATTATGAACAAAAAAACATTATTACAGACTTTAATGCAGTTTTTTATGGAAATTATTGTTATTAAATCCTTTAAGCACTTGCATATGAGAGCAATTTAATTTATAACAATGATAAGCTTGTTATAAAAATGAACAAGTATAATAAATAGAGAAGAAAAAAGTTTGTCAAACATTTGAAGCAGCAAAGTTTCCAACAACATTATCAATACACTGAAACATTCACAACTAATGATTTTATTATAAGATTAACAGATTAATCAAGTTTCAGTTTTGAGGAAGAATGAACAAAAAAATCCATTAAAAAAGATTATTTGTATCACCTAGATTCTGATGATTATAAAGTAAAATAATATGTCAATATAATGCCGTAACGAGGAGAAAAGGAGGAATCTTAAGTTGACTGAATCTGAAGCAAAATGATTACGAGAAAATGTTCAAGAAAAGAAAACAAAAAAAAATAAAATTCGATGAAATTTTCCAAAGTCAGACACGAAACGAAGTCAAATATTGAAAACTTGACCTTTGAAGTGTTTGATCAAAAAAATGGCATTCAATGTTTTCTTTAGAACAAAATGAAATTCGAATTTTTCCAAAAAGTCAATTTCTTATTGGACTCTACATAAATGTACGACTCTTCACGCTCTTTTGCCCTTTTCTCGATTCAATTGTAAAACCCATTTTCGTTGCAACTTGAAAAGAGTCAAAGTAAAGTCTCGAGAAGAGACAAAACATTATTCCAAAAATGGTCTGATTTTCTTTTTCTTTGAACTTTTCTGTTGTCTTCATTAGGTTCACTCATCCATGGTAAAGTAAGGTGAAACAAAGGGTAAACAGAGTGAATGATGAAGCAGAGTTGCGCTCAGAATAAGAAGAGATGCGAAATGAAAAAGTTTCAATTTGCTATTGGAAAGGTTCACTTTATCCAACCTCATGTAACCTCGAAAATGTTAATCAATTTTGAACAAAATACTTCGATGAACCAATGACGAGAGAAAATTTTGCTTTTTATTGAATGAAAATTTTTTTTCTTTTCTTTTGTTTTTGTCTCACTGACTCTCTCTCTCTCTCTGCCTTTTCATCATTCGTTTTGTTTTTCCTTTTCCTTTTCAATTCAGTTGGCTTCCGTTCTCGAATCTGCTTTTTGCTCTTTCATTCTATTCTTGCAGTCGATGGGAAACTTATTTCATCCATTTGATTTACCAGGATGTTTGCAACAACTGACACAGTCATTATCATTCCCTGCAAAATCAACGAGAATGACTTCAATTAAATGATTGACGAAACTTTTCGAGTTTACAGTTTTGTCTTTGGAACAAGAAAAATGGCAACAATAAAAATGAAATGCAATTAAAGGTTGAATATAATTGCATTCAATTGAGACTAGAATGGTTGATTGAAGTGAGGTGAAAGACGAGAGATTAATATTGATTCATAATGTTGAATCCTTTTTGCTTTGTTTCTCTTTTTACTCTGCTTCAAGAATGACTGATGACCGATAAAATGAAAAGCTAGAAAATGATAGAATCTCAAATGAATGACTCTTTCTTCTTCTTCCTCTGTCCAGTCCATATTACATTTGTATCATGAAGTAATAGAGTTGAACTGTGAAAGAATCACAAGATTGTTAACTTTGAGCACTTGGAGTCAGAAAGAAGCCAAAAATGTTCCAAACCAGTGAAGAAGTAATGGTGAGTAAATTTTATTTACAACAGAAATGCGAAAAAGAGTCCATTTCTCATTCATTATCAACATAAGTTCACCATTGTTCATCATTCAGTCAAAGTTGGTGCTTAGTGGCGAGATTCAACCAAAGCTGAAATAAAACCAACTTGATAACACTAAAGTTTAATCTTCCTTTGCCTTCATTTCTATGAATTATTTTTTGCTCCATTATATGCCAGAAAAAACTCCAAAAAAACTTCCAGTCGAACCTAAGATTTAACTCCAGATCACTCCCAAAAAACTCCCAATCAATTTCCAGATCAAATTCCCAATCATATTCCAGCACTCCCAGTAAACTCCCAGTCGAACTCCAAAATAACTCAGGAATAACTCCCAATACAACTTTGGTTGTAACTCCCAGTGAACTACAGTTCGACTGTGAGTAATCTGGAGGTAACCTAAAGTCGAACTGAAGGTTGCAGAATTAACTTTATATTCCGTTCTTTTTACACTGACTAAGCAGTTAGGAGAGAACCGAATGCAAGTTATCTTGAATTTCAAGTCGATTTCTTGACATTCTCTACCTTGATACATTAGTAAAAACTTCGTTTTATTACCATTGTATCGAACAGCTTTTCTGAGGTTTTGTCTTTTTGCATAAAAGAGTCAAATCTACAGAAACGCAAAAAATGAACCTTTCAAGACGACAACTTGATGTCATTCAAAAGTTTGAAATAAAAAATGCAAAAAAGAATCAAACTTTGCAAGACTTCAAAGGAAAAAAAGTTGCATTAAACTGGGAGTAAAATATTGGAGTAAAAAAGCTCGTTCCCAGTTGACTTGCTAACCTTTTACCATTGAATAGTTTCAACATTGACTTGCGTTGGGAGTGCAAAGCTTATCGAAGCAAAGAATTCAAATATTACACAGAAACAAGACTAAATTTAAAAACATGAACAAATAATTGTAGAATAAAAAGTTTGCTCATTTTCGTGTTGCATAAACATTGGACTTTTCCCTGGAATCGTTCATGAATCACATCGAGTCATCATTTGATAAATCATTTTCAACACAAAATTCATTCTCTATTTGCAAATCTCACAATTTAAACTTTGAACAAACAGTGAAAGAAACTGGCGACACAGATGAAGGCAGAAACACACACAAAAAAACGTTATTGTGTGATAAACTGTTTAATGGTTAATTGAACAATGAACAATGAAGGAAATGAGGTTGATAATAATGGCAAAGGGATTGATGAAAAATATATAAAATAGACATTTTTATTTGTATTATCATCATCAACATTATTACACGAAAACAAAGATAATCTATTTTACTATTAATCAATCGAGATCAATTTTTCTCCTTTTCTTTGGTTTTCCATTCAATTCAATATTGCAACTTTTATGTTTTCAACTTTTCTCCTTTTTTTGCCTTCTATTCTTTCCTTTCAACTCACACTGTTGTTGTCATGAAACCTCTAATAAGAAAAATTTTATTCCAACATTTCATGGGTTTGCAGTGTGTGTGTGTGTTTTATGTGGTGAGGAGGAAAGAGGCAAAAAATTTGTCGATAAAAATGATTTTTTCGATTTAAAGATGGATCATAAATCAATGAGTAAATCCTCATTTTCTTGAGCAACATGAAGTTACCCTGAGAAGAGAAAAAAAGTGAAACAAGAAAATGACATGAAAATAATGGGACCATTAGAGTTGCACTTTTCTCTCTTTCTCTTGGTTCCTTCAACATTCAGCCCAAACTCAGTCATCACTTTCTCGATTCTGTTATCTTGCTTTGGTTATCGGTTCATCATGAGAAAGGGCAAGAAAGAGAAAAAACAAAAACTCGAATCAACCTCTAATCATGTTTATCAGATTTTTCTTTCTCGTTCGCTTTTCTCTTCTGTAACATGCTCTTCAATGCTACTTGAAATGAAGTTTGGTGAAAATTTTCTCATTAAGAACTTTTCTTTTTTCCTCTTTTCCTGTAACTTGTCTTATTGAGCGTAAAACATTATCACGGTTGATTAAATTGAAACAAAAAGTCACAAGTTACTTCGACTTTTTTGCACCAACAATTAGTCTTTTTGTATCATTAAATTTTTCCACATAAATTTCGTGTTTATATTTTGGTAGCAGAAGCAATGAAGAGCTGTAACCTTCAACTTTGAATTTTTGTCATTGAAACAATCATGGACGGTGTTGATGGTGAAGAAAAAAAAAGTTTCTAAATTCCATGTCTACTTACAGTTTATTTTGAGATAAAACTCATCGGAATGTCCTTGACCGGCACTATTTGATGCTGTACAAAAATATCTTCCAGCTTGACTTCGACGAACTTTTTGCAAGACAAGCGATTGATTTGTGACGATGATTCCTTCATTTGGTTTACTAATCAATGGTTCCTCTTCAAAGTACCAAGTTACTCCTGTTATCCAAGGGTTGGCAGTCACTTTACACTCAAGGTAGACATCGTTCCCTTCACGCACTGAATTGTATTGTATCTTGGCTCCTAATGATATGGACAGTTGAGGAACAACTAGAAAGCAAAACAAGAAAAACAATAAATACTCAACAAACATGTCGAACTTTAATATCGAATAAAAAGTTTAACTTACATTGGACATTAAGAGTACGACCATCTTCTAGGCCATTGTTATCGATGGATGGATTATCGGCTCGACAAAATAAATACTTTCCATGATCCTCGACAGAAGGTATGAAAGAAACTGTCGACAGAGTCACATTACCATCACTCGATATCGTATCACGAACATTGACCATCTTCTCATTGCCCTTCCACCAAGTGATCTTAGCCGGTGGACGTGAACCACTTGAAAGACACTGCAACTCGGTTCGTTTGCCAACCGACAATGTGTTTACAACCGAAGTTATTTTTACATCTAAAGGCTTAACTAAAAATGAAACAAAAGACTCAAATTTACCATTCGATTGAGGCCAATGCAAAGCAAAACTTAATATATAACAATGAAAATTCAATGGAAATGTTGATTAATTTCATTTCACACTATTTGTCAACACACTGCTCTTAATTGCATGAATGCAAAATTCATTTAAAATCTCTTTTCATGATAATCAGTCATTCTCTGCACATTTGCATGATAAAGTTTACTTTGATTGATATCATTTAATTCAAGTTTTCCCTTCCATATCAAGTAAATGAAGCTCGAAACGTAAAGTGAAAAAAAAGGTTCAATTGAAATGGAAAAGCGTACAAAAGAAAAATTTCATTTGATGAAATTCACATTTTGCCCAGAAGCTTTTCTATCCAAAAATGAGTTACTATTATTACTTTTTATTATTATTATTATCACCGAAACCGCAAAATTGTTATTTGTTTTTTTTCCTCGAAACTGAAACTCGAAAAGAAAAGGTAAGAAAAAAAGTTCTCAAGAACAAAAAATACAATTGAAATTAAAGTGAAAAGAAAATGTTTTTTTTTCTCCTTTTCCATTTTGTGCCAACTTTAATGTGACAAGGTAAAATGAAATAATGTTATTTGTCTGATACCAGTCAAGAGTTTCAAATAATAAATAATTGTTAAACTCAACTGTAATCGTGAAAAGAGCGAAACAAGTTGAGAGAAAAGAAGTTCAATATTTCGATTTTAAATGGAAATCTTTCAATGTAAATTGAACATCAATTTAAAAGTAAATGATAATTATACTCGAGTTATTTCCTACTTGAATCGAAATTTCTCTGAATGAGACTGGAAGAGAGAAAGAGATGCAAAAATTGAGTCGACAGAATTGAACATTTTCCATGGAAAAGGCTTGCATTTGTGTCATCATTTCACTGGAACTTGAATTGGTCCAAAATTTTGGTTAAAAGATGAACACCAAGAGTAAACCTCCAAGATTTGGGTTCCTTTATTATGTATATTTATTGCTTCTTTTGCTTCCAAAATGTAACTCTAAATGTTGTTCTTGTACTTTTGCCATTTTCATCCAACATTGGCTTTCAATTTGACTGTTTCTTTTCTTCTTCTTCTTTTCTCTTTGCTCCTTTAACCATTGAGAATTTTCTTCAACATAAATATTTCTTTGAGTTTTTTCATTTTCAGAAAATATTCTTTTCTTTTCTTGGTTTTCTCTTCAACTCTGTTCATCATGAGAAGCAAACTTTCATGTAACTAACCTTGAACAAAATCCATTGTAATCCTTCTGTATAATGCTATGAAACATTTTCACAATCCAAACATTTTTCACTTGCAAACAGTTTATATCAATATCACTACTTTTTCCGTTTCATATTTCATTATTGCACACAAGATTCATTTGTAACTTTAATTTTCGTTTTCCTCCAAATTTTCAATTTTCCACCTTTAATCATTTATACTTTATCCAACGGATATTTAGAAACAGTGTGAAGTCGCTTAAAGACTCCAAGAATAAAACATTGGACAAAATTGAACATTTACTTAAACTTTTCTGTAAACCTTTTCAAGCGTTTAATTCAAACTTTGTTGAAGCTTTTACGCTCAAAAGACTAACTTAAGTAAAGTTTTTTTACGCAGAAAAGTCTTGCTCTTTTGACCATTTCAACTCAAGACATTTGTTTGTCGATTGGATTCTCTTTGAGCGATCATATCGAAATGAAATTAATCTTGTTTTCTCGTTGTTTTTTCGCTCTTGTTTTTGAAAGAAATGCAGATTTGAATTTTGTTACTTACGATTCATATCTAAAATAATTGAGCTTTCAGTTGGGACGGTTAAGTTTGTATTTGAAGCTTTACAGGTTAATTCGAATAAAAAATGGCTTCGACTTAAATTTGTAATAATTAATTCGTTTCTCATGTTATTGTGCGGTGCAAGGCTGAAACTATCATCATACAAAGTATCACCAGTCCACCAAGTTACATTGGGCAGTGGATTACCTAATGAATGGAAAATGAAACGAAAAGAAATAAGAAATGAATTCTTTCAAAGGATCGAAGCGCTACTAACCACCTTCAGCTTCACATATTAATATAAGGTCACTTCCTTCAGTATATGGACCAATCGTTCCAATTAAACGTTGACCCTCGGAATCTGTTATTATCATTTCCTTTGGAGGAGCTGGAAAAGGTAAAAACATTTGTCGAAAGAAGAAAATTAATTTCTATTAAAATTCAATCACTGGGCGACTTGAATTGCAATCAAACTTTTCTTTTCTTGAACTTTCATTGTTTCCAACTTCAAGTGTTGAAGGTCAACAGAACAAGTTGATGGCTTTAATTAATGCAGTCAAAGCGTTGAAGATTGAGATGATAAATAATGGAATAAGCTTTCAACTCAGTTCAAGTTATTAATATTATAATCACTTTTTTTCTTCCCTTTTTTTCTTCCATCTTTTTTCCTTCATAGTGATTCTAATTTCTTGGTAAACTATTCTGTTGATTTATGATAAACAGAATAACTTTTCTTCTCATGGAACACACAAATTATCATTATTATATCAACCTTCATTGAACTTGAATCATGTTTATAGTCACTTTCCATTGAATCCATCAGAATAATAATGATGTATTAATATGTGCATCATCAACAATAATAAACTTCTGAACGCAATCGCTTTAAATTTGCTAATCAATTGATTAATAATAGAAAAGTGAAGAAAATTCTGAAAAGAAAATTTCCAAAAATGGAAAATTGATCTTTTAATAAATTGTCAATTCTCAATTACGATTTTGTCAACATGAGTTGAAACATTTGGATTTAAAGTTGAATCAAAACTGTTGACTCGTTAAGGAGAAGACATTAAATTTTAATCAAATAAACTCATGACCTTTGAAGACTCAGATGGCAAGTTTCCATTGACAAGAAAAGTATTGATCCAAGAGTTCATTAATAGGGCGATGAAATAAATGTTTTGGTTAAACATTTGGGAAATCATTGTAATTAAATAGAGAAGAAAGAAGAGTCTGAATGATGGACCTTTTCCCGTTCAACTTGAATTGAAATCGTTGGACAAATTTACTTGTCCCTTGTTGACACATCTTACTTTGTTGATGAGATTTGGTTGAGAAAAGAAAAGAATTGCAAGAAAACAGAGAAAAATGATCAATCATTTGTATTATTTCTTGGAATTATTTTCGAGTTTCCACACAATTTTCGCAACATATGACTAGAGATTATTCAATAACGTCTCTAAATTGGATTGACAAACTTGGAAATTTATTCGCCATGTTTCGAAATTTTCTTCAAGAGAAATTCGAGAAAAAAGATTTTTCCAACTTTTTCTTTTCTCTCAACATTCCAATCAAATTATCCATTTTCTCGATATTCACCTTCGAAATTGATTCAAGAATGTTTATTGCTTCATTATTTTTACTCAATACATTTACATGTAATCAGCAAGGTTGGTCAACAGCATTTTATTATCATTATTACATTTTGTTTGCTTTATTTTGTTTCATTTGTAGAGTCAAATTGTTTCCACTTGAAGAGAAGGACGAATAACGGTGAAACAAGAATCAAGAAAATGATAAGTCTATCAAAGGGCCTTTAGTGATGCTGTAAACCTTTTCTCACTCTTCCAAGCCTCCAATCTCTAACATTTTATTAACGATAAATATTAATGAATCTCTCAAGTGATCTTTCGCTTTCATCTTCCAATCAATAATCAAAGCCAATATAATCCAAGTTGCAAAAAATTCTACATTTTTCTTGTTCCAAAGTTCAACCAAAATATTGCCAAAAAGGTTATCTGAAGTTTCATTTGAAATGAGCGTGCAAAAATCAATCAGTTGAAAGAATAAGAATTTGACTAAAAGAGAAAAAAAACTTTTCGTTTTACATTAAAAGTTGGGAATCCAATATCAATGGTAAAGAAGTAATGAAAAGTTCAGGGATGGGACGAGTTTCGATGGCAATAATGGTGCATGAGAAGAGAATGGAAAAGGCGAAAAGCAAATATTGTGAACGAACCTATTGAACTGTGCAAAAGTTGCATTAAAAACGAAAAGTAATTCGAAGAAGCGATGTTAAGAGATTGACTGGGATTTTTTGTTGCCATCTTGTACTTGCTTTCTTTGGGTTCCTTCCAATAATATTATAACATCTTAAATTGACCTGAAAATGATTGTCTTCTCTTCTTCTTCTCCATCTAATCATCATCATCATTATTGTCATCATTCTTCTTCCCTCGATATTTTTTCTTCTTTTTTATTTACTTCTCTTTTCATCTATAATATATCCAACTCTCTTCGAACCAGCACCAATAATAACATTAATATTGTCTATAAGTTATTCTGTTTTCCATTTCCATTCATGTTCAAACATTTTCTTGTTTATCTTTCAACTATTGTAAAACCCTTGAAAACAATGAATAACTTTCATATTGGAAGGATGAAGAAAAGTGTTCAATCTAATTTATTCACAAGAAAATATCATTTCGAAATTTGGTCACTTTTTTCTCTTTACATTACATTTTCATCTTTTCAAAAGCAAATAAAATGCAGTTTTCAATTTTAATTAGAATCGAATCAAAATAGAATTTTTCCCTTAATTCAGATAATTGCACTTTTCAATTAAAAGACGAATGTTTTTGGATTTTGTGAGTTGTTTATTTATAATGAAAAATTGCAATTAAAAGTAATATCAATCAAATGCCAAAACTTCCGTTTCGTTTCAAAATAGTTACAAAATTTAACCTCAAGGCAATTTGTCAGGAAATTAAGTAAAATTATTTAGCTTAACTGAACAAAAGTTCAACAAAAAGAAAAATATGTTTAGCATCAGAATCATTTTTAGCAAAATTCGAGTCCATAAGGTCTTCCACCAATCCAACTAGAAGTGTTACAATAATATTCAGTTTGGTCAATAACCAGACTCCATACAAACGCTAACAATAAGATAAGCTTTTCAACTAACAGTAAGAGTAATGAAGACTTTTCAAGATCGCATGAGATTCACTTTTATGATCAAATCGTTTTTACATCAAAATCGCAAAATGCAAAAAAGTAAATCCTTGAGTCTTTCGACCTGCCCAAAGTCAGCGACATTGAACTCGAAAAGATTGAAAGCTAGTTTTACAGTTTTCAGCAAAAAAAAGATTCTCATATTTGCAATCGTCTGTGAAATCCAAGAAGCAAGATTGGCAAAAACTGACCAAGTGTGTGAGAAACTTGATAAATACTGAAGATTTCCGTGAAAATGGATATAACGTTGCATAATGTGTTTGATAAGTGAACTGAGAAAATTGAGTAAATAAAATTGAAAGTGAATAAACATGAGAATCTTGTTTGACAAGCTTTTTCAAGATCAAATAAAAAGTCTCCATTTTCTGGAAAAAAAGTGCAGACCAACTTTGACAGGAAAAAGGAAATGGATAAAATTGGCAAAACGATTCCTTGTTACTCATTGCTACTCATGTAAAATGAGATTAAATGTATAATCGTGTTATCGATTAAAACTGAAATCTAATTTGTGATAAATTGCAACATTTTCTTCTAGCATTTCATCTCACTGATCCAATTAACCGTCTTTAACTTCACCAAAGACATTTTCATAAATTCATTCATATTCAGCAAACAGTTACAGTTGGTGATAAAAATTGTATCAAAATTAATCATCGACTTGGCATGATAATGATAATGAAAAATAATTTGCTTATAATAATGGGTCAATAAGGATAATGACTAGTTGTCGAAGTCGAGCAAAGTGTCGTTTGAAAAGTATAAATTTAATGACCATTCAACTGATGAATTTTTTTCTCTCTTTTCTCTCTTTTCTCTCAACATTCCATGATAATTATCACCCATTACATGTGAATGTTGATTAGGATCGGCTGTAAACCAGGGAAGAGGAAAATTTGCATCACCAACAATATTTCATTTGGCTTCATCGCTATCTTTTTTTTGCTCTTCTCTTCATCTCTCCTTCATCATAATCATGCCTCTGCTCATCATGATCATTCTCACCATCTTTTGTCTTCTCATTGAGTTTTTTTCTTCTTCTGTTGGAACTGAAATTAATTACCAACAGCTAAGGCTTTGCAATTAAATTTAATCACCAATTTAATGAACCAGTGATGATGAACATGATTGGGAGTTAAATAGTCTTTTGTTGGTGCAAATAAAAATAATATGTAAAAGGCAAATGATGATGGAAAAGCTCGACATCGGCAAAAGATGGAAACAGGGAAAAGTAAAACAAAATTGATGGTAACAAACCTAATGGTGAAATAGTTGAATGAACAAGTTTACTTTTGGCTCGACTTTTCTCTTCAACTTTTATTGCTCTCTTATGGAGATAAAATGAAATAATAATAATGATAATATTAATAATAAAAGTCAAATTGAGATGTAAATGAAGGATAAATCAATTAGTCGTTCAATTACATGGAGAGATGTGCAAACAATCATTTTGTATGAACAGACAAGGGACAAGCTTATCCTGAAAGTGAAAAATATTGTAATAACTATTTATTATTAAACGGAAAATGTTTCAACTATTTTTTTCCACATTATGCGTCATGATAATAAAAGATTCCAATTAGTGAATCGGACCAAAAACCATGAATAAAAAGCAATGAAATTTACCGATAAAAAGAAATTTTGCAGAACAAAAAATTCTTTTTGCATCAATTTCGATCAAAACTTTCAAAAGACCAAAAAAATCGCCATAAGAAATTTTGAATTTTTTGAAAACTCTCGTTTTTCCATTCTGTTGAGTTTTCAGTAGAGAAGTGCTTAAAACTCAAAAAATCCATTGAACTGAATTTTATTCATTTTTATCGCTCCAATTTTGGTAAATGAGTAAAACTGAATTTTTTCAGTGTTAAGTTTCGTAACGTCATAGAGATATAAACAAGTAATAAATGCTTGCATGAGAAATTGTTTTTATTAATTTTTTCCATTCATGCGTCTTTTACCAGGAATAATCATTGAGTTGTTCGTAATGGAATTAAAAGCATTAACTCAATATGTTTCGAAGACTAGTTTTGATAATTCCATTCTTGGAAACATGTTGAGTTGAATTCATTGTTTTTTTCATTCATTTAAAATCCCTTTTCTCTTTAGGGTGAGAAATTTAGTTTCCTACAAATCAGAATAGAAGATGTGAAAAGGAAGAAA